GCCTAAAGGTTTAAAGCCCATGGCTTACTGTGGAGAAGTTATGAGCATTTTAATGAAAATCAGACATGTCGAAAAAATCAAAATGAAAGATTTTCATCTGTTATTTTGTTGTTAGATAATTCTGAAAGTTTCAACGGAAATAAACATATCTTTTTCGAGATATTCAGTTGCCAAGAAAAAAACAAACGTGTATCATAGGACAACACAATAATCTACTCTAATTGGAATTCCGTTATCGCGAGACAGATATGTTTGCTATCTCTAAAAGTTTCCGAACTATTCAATGCCTATTAAATCTATCTACAGGAAAAATTTCATGTCCAAACTCTTCATTATAGTATCTTTGAAATGCTTTGTTTGCAGTAAACCGTCCGTAATTCCTCACCAATAGTTCATAGACTCGAACCCTCTTAGATTTTTTCCTATCTGAATATAATCCGTTGAATGAGGTAGAGTTTATACATTACTCAATCAGAGTTGTGATCTATTTTCGGCCTTTCATAGAAAACTTAATTACAGGATTTTTGTCCATTGACAAATCTTACGACTAACAGAATATCCTAAAAATTTCAAGGAAAACGAATGTATCCTTCTTGATATAATGACTATTCAATAAATGCTTATACAGTGCGTATGAAAATTATTCAGTAAAGTTTGTTTTCATTTTTTCCCGCTAGACTACATGGTACGATAGAGTAAACCATATTCTAAAAAATGAGATATCAATGAGTTCTCTGTGACATGTTTCAGCTGAGATAAACTAATTTGATTGGAGTTCTAAAAAATGATTTTTGTATAGGAAATTAGAAAAACAATGACTTTAGGGGCTTCCGTAAAATTTCTGTACCTGAACCATAATAAAAATGTTGCAGAGAACTTGGCAATGTCTCATTTTGTAGAGACTTATTTCGTTTTATTGTTCTATGTTGTCTAATGAAAATTATTTTTATTCACTCAAGGTGTTTGAAAAACTAGAATTTTTCATCTGTCGGGAGTTCTTATCTTTTCAAATCTGATAATAATTTTTCTTTTCTGAAACAATTTTCTCTATTTGAATTCTTTCTAGCGCTTACGACAGAGGAAAATAAACCTTTGTTGAACAATTTTGATACTCACTATATAAACATTTGTTGCCGTGAGAATTAGCTATGAGCGAGATTTCAATCGGACGACATTTATTTAGATTTTCTTAGTGTTATTGAGTCCTACTTATAAACAAAATATAAGGTCGAATGGCGTTCAATATTTGTATATTATTAGAACTTCATATTTAAAATATTCATTGTTTGATGATTGAAAAAGGCTTCTTTGTCATAATATATAATGCAGTAAAATAATGGGTATTCAATCAGGTTTTTCTTCTTTTGAAAACAGGGATTATGATATATTGTTCGTATTACTCTTTAATAATTAGTTCAATCAAAAATTCTTTACGTGTATAGTCTTATTTATTATGTATGAACAAACAATTCAACTATCAAATATAGTTTTGACTAAGTAACTATACGAGAGCAAATGTTTTGTTTTTCTTTTATTGCACTAAAAAAAAAAACATATTTTAAGATTTATGAAATCTGCTAATTATAGATTTGTTTTCTTTTTTATAAAATGAAAAAGTTTGAATTTAAATATAATATTAAGTCAAAAAGTATCCGACAGTTATTTAATGACGTAACTTTTAAATAGCAGACAGATATTATGATAAAAACTGATATTAATTTCAAGTATTGTTAGGAAAAAAGCTGTTTGCACAGCCTACCGATGGGATTCAAATGTGAAACACGATATAGCTGTTGTTACTAATCACAAGGAGATTGTTTTATTCTATCTATTTTTGGGGACATACTTCTTTACTATCATTTTACTTAATATTTCAGAAACGCAATAAGGAAGTAATTCATATATTATAATGAGAAGTTATTGATATACAGTCTGTCATCGTATATCAACGATGCCTGTCACAATATGTGATGTTTTCATTCTAATGTCTATCATGATGTGTAGAGTCCAAATTTCTACTTGCTTTAGAATTTATCGAATAAGGTTATTGAATACGTCTTTGTTTTGACAAAATTAATTATTTATGAAGTAAATATGTGAATTTTTAATAAATCTATGGCATCGATTATGTTCGTCAGTACGAAATAATACTATGATGTATTACATTTGGAAAAATAAACTAATGTACATATAAAATCCGTCAGACCAGAAATTTTTTTTGTCATTATTCTTCGAAATTATAAATTAACTTTTTGTGTTGAAAAATAATCAATGTCATAGATAGTTCGATGAGTTGTTTTAGTTTTGTATCAAAACGTCAATATGTTAACAAAATCTGAAAATCACGAGAATCCAAACTCAGTCTGTGTCTGTTAATCTAAAATAGCGTTAAGTAGTGGTGTAACCAAAACTGGTTGAATTTTCCCACATTCTTATACTCAGAAATAAGATTAATGAAAAAAAAAACAAAGATCATTTCCGACGGAAAACTCTTTAAAAACTAAGGTTTTTAGAAAATTCGTATCTCAGTCTTCAAGCATTTGTGCTAATTGAATGTATACTGTAGACATAGAAAAACATTCTTTGAAAGTTTCATTAATATCAGATTAGTACAACAAAGTGACAACTAACTTTGCTGAAGATGTCGTTTCAAAAAACGCTTAGCGTACAAAGAATAATTATTTTTTCCGAACGGAAACTTTTCTTATATAAATCAATAGAACAGAAGTTCTCGTTTTAACCTATATATCAATTTATTGTCCAACTCTTTTTTATTTTTTCACAAAAACAATTGATGTATTTCTCTAAAGTGCTGAATTTGCAATTAACACTCTCCGATGTATTTAGCAGCTAACAAAATTTTTTTTAATCAAAAAATTATTCATTAATCAAACTATATAAGTTCCTATTTAAATATTGAAGAAGTTTACTTTCATTGGTTTCACCTAATGTCTAAGGTGTTGCCCATTGTGTGTGTCCCTTTATATACTTCGAAGTAAAATATAATCTCGATAATGGTATAAATAATTTTGTTAGAAACTGAGAAAAGAATCACACAAAAAATTAACCTAAAAATCATGATATCGCCATGAAAATTGATATCTGACAAAATTAAACTATGCGACAGATACATCAAGTATGTTTTCGAATTTCCAAACCGAGCTTTGTACAATGGTAAAAAATATAATTTCTACAGTATTGTCCGAATGGTTTGTCAAGTAAAATGAGTAATCCAACCTCCAAAATTTATCACAATGCTCTTCTATCTCACATCTCTACTCATTTTTAGCGCAAGCATTTTTGATCGGCACAGTAGGTTTCCAGAAAACCTAAGCTTTTCAGGTAGTTTTCATGCTTTGGGAAAATATTTAATCAACTAAAATAGTATATATTCGGAATTAGTACATTAAATTGTGTCGAATGATATTATAACACAAAACAACTTTTAATAAAAAAAGTTTTCTCGAAAAATGATGGCCAGAGTTCTCTCAGGCATTTTTGTGTCGAAAATGTTTTTTTTTCTCTTAAGAATGATTTTATGTGTCATATACAATCATTTTTGAGCAACGAAATCCGTTTCCGAACAAGAAAGTCACATGCTCACTTGCCATGCGAAAAATGTACATTTGTGCCCCATCCGCCCCGTCATTCAGAATCCGTCGAGAGTTGATCCCAAACCCGGTGAAAACTCAGTTTTAACATATAAACTTTGTTGACTATTAGGTATTATTCTCTGATACTTGCTATAAAAAAAATTGATGCATTTTAAATGCCGGCTTTCTTTTATGTCTGTAGACCTTAATAAAACATTGTTAGAATCTTTGGAATGTATGCATTTGTACAATGCATATCCGAGAACCAAATCTACTATTACAAAAAAGTTCATATTGTAAAATTTAATTTACGATAAAAAATTTAGTTGATTCCGGACAAGGCTCGACTTTCTACTAGTGCTAAATCACATACTAGAGAATAATTGATAAATGTTTATGATTCTCCGCTTGATTATTTATCATTAATATTGGTTGTTATGTTTTTATTTAAATAAAATTTGTCTTTATTTTAGGCAAGTCGTACCATGCAAAAAGGTAAACCAATGATAAGACGTAAAAGTGAATTACCTCATGATTATACAACATTAAATGCATTAGAAAAACATAAACGACCGAATGATTTTCTAAGCTCAGCAACAGAAGCCAATCCGAATGCTCAATAAATGAAACATCAACAGAAAAGCGCATTCAAAAACAAAAGAAAAATCTAAACATTTTTATGAATTTGTCTGACTAAAAGAATTCTTTTTTTTTTTTTTGTACAGAATCCAAGATACAAGAAAAAATAACAAGATGAGAAGTTGAAATTTAGCTTCTCGCTTAGGATTCCTGTTTGTTTGTTTGTTTTTTTTTTCTTCTTTTTAATGTACGTCATCACATGTCTTTTCTCGCTTGTATTTTTCTACGCACATATAGACGTCATGCTTTGTTCCTTTTTTTTTTTTTTTGCTCGAATAGGCGAAGCCAATAAGATTTATTTCTTCCTTCTGTTTTTCTTCCCTCTTTCCCTCCATCATACCTTTATTTAAAAAAAACACAGAGATTTTGTCTTCTTTCATCGAACAATTGAATAATCAATCCTTTCTTTTTACTCGAAGAGAAAAAAATCAAAACAAAAAAACAAAAAAAAAAAAACAAAACTATGAAGATCTGTTATTGTCCGTGTGGCTTGTGTGATCATCTGCATTTGTTGCGTGCGTGTGTAATACATTTTTTTTTCAGCTTACATTTGCAAACAAAAAAAAATACCAACAAGATGAATCTTTGATTATAATGTTCATTCGTTTTTTTTTCTTTTGATTATAGATTTTATTATCATCGTCCTATTGTCAGATTATATATTTTAATGTTTGTTTAAATAGAACAAAAAAAAAAAAGCTTCGAGATTGTTTTTTCTTTTCTTTTTGTGTCTTTGGTAATATATTACGATTTATTTATTTATCTATTATGGTTGATACAGTGACAACAACAATGGGCAATGATAATGATGATTGGGAAGTTGCTGTTGATACAGGAGAATTTGATAAACGACTTGAACAACAAGAACAAGATCGTGCAACTAAGCAAGTAATTCTTATTTTTCTTTTTTTCAATTTAATATTAATGAATTTTTTTTGGCTTTGTTTTTCGAACGAAAGAGAAGTTTGAATTAAAGCCTTAGAAAGGAAAGAGTAGAATAATCCTGAGAGGATTTCAATTAATAGACATAGTAAAAATACCATCTATTCTTTTTGAAGTATTGAGTGCATAAGATAACTCGATTCTATGATTTGCCTTGTGATTAGGATACTTGATATCTCAAAAAAAAAATGACATACTTTTGTGCTAAAATTGTTAAGATAGTCTATTGACAATGAGACTGGTCTAGAGACAAAATTTCGAGTGAAAATCACATAATTGAGTTTTCTCTGAATAGTTGACCCCGATGTAGAGTGCATCGGATCCAGAATTTTTGATTTCGGACCAATCCAAAGGTCGAAAACATACTAACATGATCATTACTTTGATTGTGTAATGTATGGACTGCAACCCATTGAGAACTTTCTTAGTTCCATTGGATTCTACTCACAGTCAAAATATGAAATTGAACAGTGTCGGATACTAGAATATGTTCCACTATAAGTAAATTAATTATGATTTGATCTTTTGACTAGGGGATATACGGCATGACCGAAGCTTTCGCTTCACAAAAACTTCTGACATTTTCAGTTCATCCTACTCTCTAAACCAATCGGGACCACTGCTCTTACCTTAAATACTTGATAGTGTTATACTGTAATAGTCTTGTGTTTCTTATTAACATACCCCGAGAGATTTTTTTTTTCTCATAAATTTGTTTTAGTTGTTAAGCATAGATCATTTTATCAGTTAGTTGAAGAAAGACTGTTGTCAATATAACGTTACAATAAAAGGTTAGAATATACTCGAAGACTTTCATGTCTAAAAGCAGTTTTGTTTCAAATATCAATTATTTCATTGTATTCTAGAGCGTTACAAAGATTTTATAGTTCATACGTACTCAATACTCTTCTTAAAAACTTTCTTTTAATATTCAATTAACACATAAATTCAAAAAAAGAATTCATTATATCAAATAGTTTTGAATTCACACTCTAATGACCTCGATTTTTTGTTGATCCGAATTGTTGTTCATAAGAAAAAAAAAATGATCCATTAATTGAACTATATTTTATTTTATATTGTCTATTTTAAAGGAATCTACGTTATCTACTGAGAATAATGATGACAATCGAAATTCTTCATATAATAATTTAATGAATTCAAATAAACCAATTCGAATTCTTAAACGACCAACCAGTCAAATTCAATTACCTGTTACTAATGATATAATTAATTCTAATACAATATCAACAACAATAGTATCAAATAATACTAATAATAATAATAATTTGCCTTTTTCTAATAATATTTCTTCATCAACACCAGTGCCTATCATATCAATCATTCCAAGAAATCAAAATAAAGATTCAATAAATTCTTCACAGACAATAAATTCATCTAATTCTTTATCTTCACAATCAACAAAACCTCCTATTAAAACTTATGAACAACGAGAACTTGAATACAGATTAGCACGATTACGGTAAATTTTTATTAACATGAAATTTCATTATATAGAAAAATAAAACGAATTTTTTTAGAATCATGGGTGAAGAAGAAAGTTCAACTAAAGATGATGATGATGATATTAATAATAATAATAATAATCCTATTATTGATTCGACTACTATAACATCTGATGAACCAACTACAACTACGTCTTCGTCTACCACAAGTCTTACATCCACCAAGACATCCAATAATAATTCGGTTTCATCACTTCAAAGTCATTCAACACCAGGTAGTTATGCTTCAAATTTATACAATTTAAATAATACTTCATCAAATCCTGGACCAATTCATTTTAATACAAATAGTACGGGACCTTTTTCTCAACAACAATATCGTGGTGCTTATTCAACATTATATCCTCAAATGCCATTAACACCATCCGTACATTATCCAACTACGACACTTTATATGCCGTCATCATCATCGAATTATCCGATTCACTCATCATTGAATAGTTGGTATCATTATCAACAACAACAAAATCCTTATGGAACGCAACAGTACGGTCATCCGCAATAGACAAAAAAAAAGAAAAAAATATATTGTTTGTTTCTCTTTTATTAAAAAAAAAAAATTTATTCGTTGATCGATCGATATCAGAAAGAAAAAAGTGTTTTTGAAAGTAATTATTTATACCGGATTGACAAAAAACACAGAAAAAGAAATATCGAAAATGAAAAACATATAATCAAAAAGATAGAGGACAGAATGCATCGTTCTACATAATTCAACCATATAAGCTGTTACCATTGTAATTCGATTCTATGTTTTTGTCTATCGTCTATACTCATTTATTGTAAACGCAAGAACGAGTGTAAGACAGCCTGGCTTTCATCATTAATTTTCGATATTTTTCTTTTCTACGTTTTCTGCCAAGTACTTTTATACATGTCTCGTCGTTATTATTTTTTTTTATTATTAAAAAAAAAATAATTTAACCTTTTCATTTATAAAGCAAAGGAGACAATGATATTTTTTTTTTATTCATCGAAGGTAAGTTATATCTGACACCATACTATTTTATCTTTGAAGGACAACCAATATACATGAAAGGTCTTATTGAATAGTAAAATATAAGTATTTTTTGTTTCATTTTAAATTGTAATCATATTCAAATCTATTTGTTCATATACATACAGGTGTAAGTTTTTAATTTTAATAAAAACAATTTAACATTTCTTATATATTTAGACAGTCAAATGAATATTACGTTGTCACTATGCCACTAGATATTCTCTTTTATAATACAGAGTATAAACAAGTAATGATAGTTTGCTATTTTTTTGTTCTTCTGTTCTTTGTCAATGATCTTGCATGTCTAATAGTATATCATATCATAGTTAGATTAAGAAGAATAAGCTTCAATAAACTTCTACAAAAAAATGTTTCATGTCCTATATCTAATGCACTAATTTTTGTTTAAGACAATTATAGGACAAAAATTTTTACGACATATTATGATAGGTTGATAGAAAACAAAAAGGAAAAATTGTCCTTTTCTATCGTATGATAAATAACAAAACAAAAATGTTTCGTGATAATATGTATTTTTTTGCGTATATTTCTGCAAAGATAGGCTTCTCAAGGTTATTTATGATTAATTTTTGTCAAAGCAACACATTCTCTTGACTTATTTTAAAAGATCTAAAATAATAAATGTGTAGTATGTCTCAAGTGTAATAGTAAACATAACCATCATGAAGTAACAAATTTATTATTAATAGATCTCCTTCTTGAGTGCAAAAGATACTGTTGAAAAAATTCTCTGAATATATAAGAAAGATAAAAACCAAAAATTAATTAATGATTTAGATCAACAAGTCAATTGAATTTTAATATATATTTCTTTTTTATTTAAATTCTTTCAAAATCGATTAATTCAAGTCACGAGAAATAAATTGCAAATGTTTTTCTTTTTAAAGAAAATATTCTATGTTTTGTTTTTATGTATATCATTGTATTGAGATGTGCAAAATAAATTATGTTGCAAACATTTGTTACACTCCGCAAATGTTTTTTTTCACGCCTTGAATATATGCGTACGTGCATGATGTACACATGAAAACTATGCAATCTAATACAAAACAAACTGAAAGAACTATATGCTCTTTGTTTTTTGATTGATTATTATTGGCTTATCTTTTGGTGTAAACCGCAGTTAAATACAAGTTCTTGCAACTTTTATTTGGCCTTGAAAGAGAGAAATTTGCGTATAAATATTTTTTTTTTATTGGTAACAACGTTTTTTTACAATGATGCAATGATGATGTCGATGGTTTCATCATTCGATGGACTTTGATATCTTGTTATTTATTATCGCAATTATCATACAGGTAACAAGCTATGTATCATGTATTCAGTTCGTGACTGACTCAGTTCTATTAGAATGTTACTATAATATAAATAATTTGGTTGGACTAGCCGATCATTGTACTACAAAACGTGTTTATGTCTCGTTCGTTTCTATTTTTATATCGTTTATGATCAGTAGCCAAGCAAAGGTATGATTATTTCGATATGATTTATTTCGTGTATATAAATTCTCTCTTTATTACAAAGAGATTAATCTTTTTAGTATCCATGAACATGTAACCTTCGATATTCGGAAAGTATGCATAGAATATCTGAGATTTAAACTAATCGAACTTTTGCCATATTTGAAAATATCACCAGAATATTTACTCAGGTGTATAAAGCAGCAAAAAAAAAATATACTCAGTTGATTTTTTATGAGTATGATTACCTGAATCACTAGTTACTTATGTCTGATATAATAAAAACAATCAACAAGACGTTTTGTGAAGTATGATTATTAATAAATATTGAAGTCTATTATCAGATATTGAGAATACTCAGTGGACTGTAACATATGTTTAGTTCTCTTTTTGCGAACAAAAAAAATACGGTCAAGAGAGTTAGATGCACTGTGTAAGTCTTTTTACAGTACCCACCTTCCTACGCGTTATCTTATATTATATGCAATTTTATTGTGTCATGAGATATACATTAATGCTGTCAGGCTTAAATAAACCTTTTCATTTTAACGAAAAAATACAGACAGATGTATTATAGTTTATGAAGAAGAAGAACGATTAAATGAAGCATAGTGTGCATTACTGAAGACGTTGCTAATATTCTCTATAAAAATAGATCTATGTATTGTGATATTAATGGTAAGTCATCCAACGCTATTCAATTAAATATAAATGAGAAGTGAAATATATTTTTCAAGATATTTAATTCCTAAATAGACTCGATGGTTAGATTTTCGAGCTTCTGTCCTATTAAAACATTTAAAACTATTCCATCGAATTATAAATCATAGTTTAAACTAAAACTCTTTTTGTTTTTATTTTTTGGAAATAGTCTATGGAGAAGAAAGCTTTATGTGATTATATATATATACAAAATATGAAATTGAATAATGTCTGATTATTTTAAGTGTTCTTTCATTAGTTTTTGTTAATATCTAGCATGACATGAGCATTATATTTTTCAAGTATTTTCTTTTCATTTAATGTAACTCTCTCATTTAAATATAATGATAAGAATAGTTGAAAGAGCTATAAGATCTACTTTATATAATTGCTTTTCTCACTCGGTAATCCTAACGATAGAGGATAACAAAACTTGTTAGACTAACTAAAAATGTCCCTATAATTATCTTTTCCAGATAATATGTCAAGATGATATAAACCAATTCATCCAGATCAAAAGAATAATTTTCTCTCTATTTATGCATTATTAAACTTTTTTAAGCCTATTTTTATGAAAATCTTTATAATATTTGACGAATAGAAGAACTATATTTAGTCTTTATAAAATGTTGCGTATGTAGAATGCAAAGATATAATTATAAATAAACATAAATAGAACTGAATACAGATGGACGGGATCGAAACTAAAGATTACATTTCAATGATCTTATATATGTCACGGAGTGACCAAGTTCTATACCGTGATTCTTCTATATCAGTGTACCTTTCTTTATCACATGTGAGATTTTTTCTTTCATAGTCTTTTTGTCACCTGAGAGTTTTTTTTTCGCTCTCATCAACTTTGTTAGATTTTTCTCATCTGGTTGATCATCATGGGCATTATCACCAAGTTCATCTATATATATCAAACGTAATTTCACAATAAAATACATTCCAAACTGTCATTTATCTTCTTCGATTTACAGAGTTAGCTTCTTAAAGGGTTCACATCCTTTACAATAAATTATCTCTATACAAAGCATTTTTAGGAGAGAAGACGAAAAAAAAACTAGATAATATTGAATAATCGAACTAACCAAAAAAGAGAATGTATTTTAATATTTCTTTAAAAATATTTGATAAGAATAAATTTTGAAATCATTTATTCTAAATCGAGATCCAACTTCCAAACGTAGAATAACTGAGACTGGAACCAGATGAGACATAACAGAACTATGACTAAACAAAAATTGATTTCGTACATCTCTCGTAACAAATCATGTGAATGTGTGTATAGTTGCTACGCGATGAGAATCTTCTGTGTGATTAATACAAAACAAGATTTAATCTCAAATATCTACTTTTAGTCCCTTTCCAAACTAATAACATCTTTCGTCACGGAACATATCAATATGTTTGAAGTCATATAGTAAAACCTAAGTACGCGAAACCCCCATAATTGTATTATTTTGAGAAAAAAAAAACGATTATTTCGATCTGAAAGATGTTAAGTAGTCAGGGAGCTTCGAGTTCACGTTTTTGTAGATCGAGAACCGCATCTTCCTGTAATCATATAAGAATCGTTTAAAACTCATGAAGAATCGAATAACTGTAAAAATATGAAATATTTTTATAATTTCTTAAAAAAATATTTGAACGAATCTAAATTATATGTTACTATATATGGTTAATACTTAAAATTCGATAAAATCTCAACTACATAAAACTAATAGTATGTTTTATGCTACGCGTTCATGATGTGATGTTATCTACACAATATGATTTCCATACTTTAACCTTAATTGTAAAGTATTAAGTACATTATACTCTCGCATGAGACATCGGCACTATTTTTTTTTTGTGCTTTTATTTTTCATGAACCAAAAGTTTTCTGACGCTCATATTTTTAAACAGTGGTTAAACAAAACTTTATCTCAAATTATAATATCATAAGAGATATATAGGTCAAATAAAATAAAAAAATCTCGCATGTCAAACAAATTTTCAAGTTGTATTCTATATTATTTGTCATAAACAAGAAACAATATTTCCATTCCATTCATTAACTATCATTGAATAGTACGTCGATAAAATCGATCAAATGACTTGTTTTAGTAGTAGATGGCAGCAAAAATCGATCTTTTAGGACTTATTTTCTTAATATATTAGGATTTGTCTAAGATAAATCTCTGTTTTTCTGTATAAAAGAAGCGAGCTATTAGAAGGAATATATAGAAAACAACTCAAGATATCAGATGTTTCCATACTAGAATGTAACAATACAATTAGGTTGTAATTCACTCATATATAGATCAAATATGTTTCATATTTTAATGCCGTATGAATAATACGAACAATTTCTTTTTATCATAAAATAAAATTTTTTAGATAATTTAGTAAGATTATTATGCTTTATCTTCATAATTTAGCATGAATTGGACATGATTTCATTTACTTTGCAAATGTATTTTCGAAGTTTTTACAAGAATTAATAAAATTTCTAAAAACAAATAATATTAATAGAATAATTTATTTTTCAGTATCATAAACGAGTCTACTAAACTTTGAAAAACTTGGCTTAGAACTGAAATATTAACGGACGACCTAGACTAAGCGACTTATTAATATATCATTCTATAGAGAAGTGTTTGTTCTTTCGTTCTCTGTATGTATAATAATTTTCTCTTCTTCCTCGAATATTATTTTGGCTTGCTGAAGGTCGTCTAAACTAAATTTACAAATCTTTAAAAAATAAACTCATAATTCTTACACTAAAAATCATGCAAAAAAACATTGAACTTATATTTAAACAGAACACAAGTTTTTATAGGTTAATTTAAGACACTGAAAAAAGAACGAATATTTTTAGTAAATTACTTTTCGATTACTAATTACTGTAGCAAAAAGAATATCAAGATGTCAGTTGAATAACAAAATAGAGAATCAAAATTTACACTCATTTTGATAAAATATGTGTGAATTCGATCATTACCGAAAGAAAAAAAAACTTCGAAAGAAAAACAAAATTGTATTTTTTTTTTGACATGTTCAAGTATTTTGTTTTTATAAGATTTTAACAGTAGAATGTTAATTATTGAATAATAATACAGATGTAAGAGAGAAAAGAAACTCGCTTCTTAATTGACGAGCGATTACTCATTTATAGGTCACCAAGAAAAAACAAGAAGAATAGCAACAAGAATATTGAAGTATGCATGGTTTATTTCTTTTTCTACATCAACGAAAACAAAGTGAGACATTCATACGAATGTTTTTTTCTTACCCTATGTTTTAATGTAATTGCACATGAAATGTAAACTATTTTTTCTCCGTTCTTGTCGCTCGCTTTCACGGCACGTGTAAGAAAAACGTGCTATAATCAATGACAACAAGGACAAAAACGTGACAAATACGGCTGAAATAGTTATTTCATAACATTGAAATATTTTAATATTTATCAATTGTCCAACCTTATTCATTACTAAAATTGTGTTACATGAATGCATACATCGAAAAAATTAGTTCGATTTGTTTTTATTCATTCACATATGAGGTTATAGGGTGTAAAGACCAAAGATTTTTGTATGTTATATAGGTGCATGGTCCAAATTGTCTTTCTTTTTTTTTCTTCTCATTCTTTCGTGTACCAATCAAGCAATTTTTATTTATTATCGATATTTTATCTCTTTTGTAGATTTGAAATTTATCAATGTCATTAAAAAACTTGTCAACTAATAATACACATGAAGATTATTTATCAAGTAATGACAAAGTAATACATTATTTACAAAATTCTACAGGCAGTTCAACAAAGACTAATTCATTATCCATGCTTAGAAGATCACCATCAAGTAATTTATATCTTTTACAAAATCGTTTACGTTATTGTTCAGAAAATGATTCAATATCATCATCATCATCGTCAGTTATGGACTCATTATCACGATCAGATTTTAGTTTGGAATCAAGTTTATCTGATCCAATAGCACATTGTAGTATATTTAATTCAAATATATCATCAGAAGAAGAAATTGATTTTAATATTGGATTTGATCAAATAAGTGATGATGATGATGACGATGATGATTATGATGATAACGATGATTATAATAAAAAAATTTTCAACAAAAAACAATTGGGTATGTAAAACAAAAAAAAATAAATAAGAATCAATTTCAACCTTTTGGTACAATTAACGTGACAAATTAGAAAAATATCTAAACATTTTGTTTTTATTTACATTTTCTTCCTATATTATGCAGCAAAAGTTTCCCAACTTTTGACTGCATTATTAGTTTTATGTCAGTGGATGTAGAATACTTTTTTTCAAAATGAAAATGAGTTCAATGATATAAGATGCAATTCATATCTAGGATCCACTTAGACTGATGATCGTTAAAATAACCATAAATCCTCTGTTTCTATTAATTGATTAGATACTTCACTACATAAATGACCCTGTTGTTTTTGTATAAATCAAATTAATTGCAAGTATTTTATATCTAATAAGTAAAGCATATAAATCGTGCATAAGACAAACATAATTTATATTTCGAACAAAAAATAAAGTTAAACTTTAGATTTATGATCTTCCTCATTTTTGTTTCGAATAGTTAACAGGAGTATCTTTTTTAAAAATCAATTACATTAGTTTTTTGACGACATCTTTCCAGTTGCAACAAATTACTTGTTCATTATTCGCTTCATTAAATAGATTTTGTTTACTTTCAATTTCACTGCAATACATTCGCGCTATTTTTGCTCATAGAACCGATATATTTGACCTTCATCGATAATATATATGATGTATGTCAATGAGTACTATTAAACTATAAACTATTGTCTGTGACCTACATTCACAGCCAATAAACGTCATGACCGTGACCAAAAAAATTTGTTCACGTCGGATACTACTCACATCGAATCAATATTGTTTGGAATATCATATGAAAAATATCCTTCTAAAAAACACAGTAGTTCAATCCCCATGTTTTAATTCAGAATCAATGTTCAAAATACAAGTAGAGTAGCTTTCCACTATAAAATAAATCAAATGATATCAAAAACTACTCATATTGAGCCAATTTCAAGTGAAATGTCATACAAAAGAGGTCAGTCTATTGGATTCACAACTTTTGAATCTGATCGAACTGTAATTTGATGCTCTCAATGAGATACTCTAATTTAAATTGAATAGTTGCTACTTCAAAGGTACAAGATACTTTGTTTTCGGTGTCTATCGTATCCTACACATTTCTCAGATAACTAGAGTTCATCAGGTCAAAAAATTGCAAACCTGGATCGAATCCGGTTGGCTATACAACTCTAAAAAGTATATTTATGGTAAAACTTGAATCGAAAACGAATGAATTGTTCAGAAGTTATTTCCAAAAAATCAGCATGAAAATAGAGAATCTTAACCAAGAAATATATGAAAATTTCGGTTTTTTTCTAAACACATCTCTCTATCAAATGCAATTTTTTCATAATACACAACTCACAAAGTATAAGCTAAACAGTTGAAATTTGGTGTGACAATCGAGGATACTCTCAGAGGAATAACATATAAAAAAAAAAACTTGTATAAATCCATCAAGAAGAACAAAAGTTATTAATCAAAATTGCAATTGTACCAAAAAGTTTCAATTATCTCAAATATATATTTTTTTTTTATATAATCGAATTAATTTGTTTGGTTTTAGATACAGTTGCATTATTCAATAAATCGTCTGAAGATATAAATATTAAGAAATTAGAAGATTTTATTTATCGATCTTCTAATTCAACAATATTTAATGGTGATTGTGAAATTAATAATAATGATATAATCACATTGAGTCCTATAAAACAACAACAACAACAAAATAATCTTTTACATGACTCAACTTTTACATTATGTTCACAAGATCCTTTCTCAGCTTATACAGAAGATCATGATAATAATCAAGAAAATGAAGCAATATCTGGATTTAGTATACGTTCAAATTCATTGAGTGCTCTTCAAACTGATAAAAAATCAACTTTGGTAGAAAAAGCACCGAAAAAAGCTGTTCGTTTTGCTGATACGCTGGTATGTGATTGAAAATTTTTTAATATTTAATTCTATCAGAATATTACGATTATTAAACACAACTATCGTGACTCAACTACGAATATTGGGAGGAAAGTTGATGACTTTAGAGGAAACGCCAAGGATTTGTTAATATTTTAGACAAGGAATGAACACCAACAGGGATTTGACAAAGAAGAAAAAAAAAAAATAAGCAGTCACAATGCGAAGTTATTTTCTTTTTACTCTATGATCTTTTCTTTTTACTAAACAAAAGAATTTTTACTGAGAGAAAATGAAATTTTTCTAAATGTAATGGATGGGCATCCCTAAACATGGCTTTTCACAACGTTCTAAACTCACAAGAAAATATTTTTCAATTTCTAATCACTCTTGAGTCAGGACTATATGCATCAATGTGTAGGCCTTAATTATCTACGAATATCCTGACAAAATTAAAAAAATAGAGTTTTGAATATCAACTTGAAATTTCGCATAATGACAGACTTTAATCAAAATGATACTTAAACGAAGTATTTCGTATGATTAGTAGAACTAATCAGAAAAGCCTATAGACCTTGCTTGAAGAGTGAATTACTAATTTAAGATAAAGAATTTTCAAAAAATATTCTGCTGACTCGATTCTATCGGTTGCAGTTGCAAAATAATTCGAAAGTCTCTATTATAGTATTTAGAATGATAAATCGATACATATATAACAGTCTAGTTCTTTTTTTTCAAAATAATTTTAAGATTCCTTTTAGAATAAAACTATCAAAATAATTAATTCGATTAGATTCATAATGTGAATCAAATATTTCCTAAGACTTACCAAATTGGATGTGCTCTTGTACACATACACACGTTTTCTTCTATATTCAATATTTCAAGGTAACATTATTAGAATTATGAATAAAATCTCATGTTAAAATTCATTTCAATACAAGAGAGAAAATGCAGTTTAGGGGTCCTTCAGCACCTTATTAATAAATTTCGTACTCAGATGTTGCATTTATTAGATCAGATCATCTGCTGAGAAGGAGGAATTAACAGTTAGTGTAAGCAGCTTTTTAGCGCCGGATAATATATATGTTGGACAATTGGATGAAGGTATTTTCTATTTGAAGTGAATTTTTTTTTTATCAACACAAGATTATTTTTCGAAGTCGAGGAATCCGAATCAAGAAGTAGTTTGTTGAAATTTTCGAATTCAATTTTGTCTATGACAAGAGACTTGTTTTCAATGATTTAATTATCTTATGCAAAATCATTATTTTCGCAAAAACAACTTTATCTTTATCAAAAAATTCTAATTCAAATTTGCTCATTCTCATCTTAGCTATTATCTGTAGTACTTTTCTATTGTTCAACATTCATTTCAGTATAATTTCGTGAATGGAGTATCAACATCTGTTTTCTATTTAAATATCATTCTACAGATTGAACTCTTACTGAAATGATGATTACTCTCGAACAAACTTTCATATGTATTTTTAAATTTCATCAAGATCAATTTTCATCAATAAATATAAAATCTCAATCATTATACGAATTTAACTCTCATATCACCACCTATCGGATAGTAATCTAATTTTCACTTGGCATCCACACAGACTCCAGTTTATTAGTAACAGTACACAATTATTATTAAGTTGACTATGCAAAAAATATATAGATATCGTTTTTCGCATTTTCTTATATTATTCTCTATTTTCAAAAGGTTGCCAGTTATGCATCTCCATTCAGCGTTCTCGTGTACTTTAAGCTGTTCTATCACTTCAGCAACAACTAATTGTAATTGACTATTTCAATCAGTATATTCTACTACTCATTGCTGAGGTACTCAAGATGGCAAACAAGTGTTATGATATACTTTGGGCTTGTTAATCATATAAACAACGATTCAAGTCAACCAAATAATATTGTCAACAATTTTCTACTAAGTGTCACGGAAACATATCTGTAACAATAAAATACAATTGACTGAATTTCACATGAAGCATAGACTGTTGATATGAGAATTTGAAAAAAAAAAAGAAATTCGAATTTCTCCGTTGAAGAATAATAAATCATATATTGACATTTATTATCAACATAAACATTGTCAAAAAATTAAGTATATTTCACTTTTTCATTATGATATCTATGTTACTCGATAAAAATACTATAAAATGTACGGAGTATGATAAAAATTTCGTTTGATAAACGAACACTAACACCCCCTACTTACAAGAACGAAAAAAAACGAAAATAAGACAAAATGTAATCTACTGGCATACTATTCGTTACGTATGAAAATTACTCACTTATATTTAAGATTGAGATATGACCTTGCATTGTTTAGTTCATAAATCTTCACTATTGTTAACACATTATCTCATTTTTTTTTTCAATTATATAAAACTTCATATTATTCACGTTAGGATACATTTTATTTATTCGTATATAATTATGAAAAAACAAACATATAAAGTTTTCTTTTTTTAGGGTCTGGATCTTGAATCTATTCGTTATATGAGCCCACCAGACCAATTATCTACACCAGTTATGCAAGAATGTTTACGTCTTCAATTAGGACAATTACGTCTTGGAAAAAATATGTATAAATATCCAACATCATCATCCTCATCATCATTAGTTTTACCAACAAAAACATTTTATCTTGTTTCAAAACAATTTACATCTCCAACAAATATAATTCCGTTAATTTATGAAAAAAAAGTTATGCTTGAATGTTTATATACAAAAGAATCAATAGCATATGGTACTGTACGTGTTCATAATTGTACTTATGATAAACTTGTATTTATACGTGTAACACAAAATGAATGGGAAACATATAAAGATATTCAAGCATCTCATTCAATGAATTTTCCAGTTGATAATACGGATATATTTACATTTCAAATAACCTTATCAAAATCTAATGATGATACAACAGAACCAAAACGAATTTTATTTGCTATTTGTTTACAAACTATGTCACAAACATTTTGGGATAATAATCAAGGATGGAATTATGTATTGGATGTATTTGAAAAGTAATTATAAAAATTATTTCATTTAATAATTAAAATTTAAAAAAAAAAACAGAATATATTAATTAAGCAAGTGACATTCGGACAGAGATATTATTCTTCAGAGATTTAGTTTTTTGATAAAGCTGACAGTTATTAAATTATGTTGTTATATTATATATAACAAAAATCATTGATCTTTGATTTAATCAAAATTTATCTATTGAATCAATAAGTATGATTCCCATGATAAAAGATTTTTTTTCCTATAGATGCCTTTTTTTCTATTCCTATGTCCATATTAATTATTTTATCATATTTATAGTATCCTACTTCACGTTTCTTGGTAACCACTTTACTGAAAATTCCAATGTACTAGTTGAGTATCTCAACTAGAGCTCGTCATATCCGGTCTCAGTTTATTAAACGTTTTTTAGATCTGGTCGAAGTATATACTTAGATACTCTTACTGAAATTTTCTAACCACAATTGGATAGTTGTCTATAAGATACGCCATACTCTGTATCGGTTTTTTGTATTCGATGACTAGAGGTCGTTGGCTCCAAAAATTTCAGACCTGGACAAACCCCATGGGCTGTAGAGTATCAATTATACTTCAATCTTTGCAAATGTGTGATAGAACGGTGTAAATATGATAAAATAATTTTTCTTTTATAAATCTGATACGAAAAGCAATAGCGTAGATCGACGCAATTTTTCATGCTTTACAAAATGACATAGTAAACATGTATATTTTTAACGTCTCTCTTACATTATACAGGGTCCAAATGCGTATGATATTATACCCATGTGATTCTGGTTAATGTAAGAGAAACGTTACATATAAACATATTTACTATGTCATTTTGTGAGCATAAAAAACTGCGTCGATCTATTTTATTACTTTTCATATTAAGTTCGTAGAAGAGAAAAACTAGAAGTACCATAGCTAGTAACCGAAACATCCAAAAGTGATCGACATCTAAGACAATTTAGCCCCTTGAAACTTTGTGTGCATTAAACAAAAATGTGTAGAATTTCGTGCACTATCCCTATATTCTATTGAAAGTGCGAACTCTAGGGATTGACAGATTTCTAACTGTCTTCAATGATGTACTTTTCTATTAACACTTGCTTTTAGTTCTTTTTACCTATGTGAATTTTGCTTGTGTGCAACTTGATATTTCTGAGAAATGTGTGCATGTGCCCATTTAACGTTATGAACGCCATCTATCAAATAGATTATGCTAAAGACTAACAGAACAACTGAGATTGAATCAAAAGAGCTTTTTTAATTTATAATTAGAAAAACAAAGAAAAGATTTCTGTAAAAATCATTGTGTATACTAAGATTCTTTTCCACACAGATTTATATTATACTAAAAATTCGTCAATTATAAAGGTTAAGAATATTTTTGATCACTAAATTTATTATTAACAGAATAACAGATAATATAAGAAATAACAGTTATAATTTTACGAACATAGATAAGATAGTGTGGATAGGTGAAGACAAGATTTCATAAATGCATCGATATCTTTCTTTAATGTGTTATGAGTTAATGAGATCATTTCGATCAGATACGATTATTTATATTCAACTTAATCTTATCGATCAATTAGCTTTTGAGATAAATGCATCATCTATTACTTATAAACATTAATCCTTTGTCATCCATTTTGTACTGATGCATTTAATGATCAAAAATATCTTTTTTGTTTTATTAGTGATCATTTTGCAATGAAAAATTTTCGTGAATAAAAGATAAATTATATCCCATTAGATATAGATAACATAAAACGAATAGAGAATTAGATGAATATTTTCATTAATGCATCAATTTGATTGATCAATAATCAAAACATAGTAAAATATATAAATATACACAAATGAACAACAATAAAAAAACATTATAAATATTAAAATACATTATTCATCGAATGATTTGGTTATTAAAACATTCGACCTTTTTATTGAGAACAAAGCAATTAACATTTCTTGATGATCTATATGCAAGATGTCAGTCACGAAAGACTATTGAAAACATCATATATGAATGTAATGATGTCACCATGGATCACTAGAAATTTAGTTAAGAATTAGAAAAAAAAGTACTGTGTGACTGATCGTTGAAAAATTATCATAGTTCTTAACGTCAGTATTATGTTATCTAGAATTATTTCAACTTGCTTAAAAGATTATTTTAATTCAAGATAAACTCGTTTTATTCATTTATGTTTGTTAGAAAACTATTTCTTTCTTTTCTAATATGGGAAATACATTCAGCTGTCATCGTATAGATATATCTTTATTATGAGATGTTAGCTGATTTTTATCTTATAAGAGAAAGTGTGTTCACACAAAATAGGAAACCAAATATTCTTCTAACTTGTTTTGTTAGATAATTCAGTTTTTTTTTCCAAGAAAATTTGCTGTTTTCGGAAAAAAAAAGAAGGACACATTAAAATTTATGATGCATCAATGCGTCCAACTCATCAAGGTAAATCCATTCGGATGATGCTATGAATTGTGTTAAATGAAGGGAGAAAAATGCGTTGTGAATAGAAAAAAAATGAGATTAAATCAATTGCAAGCTGAACAAACGATGCATTTAAACGTAAAAATAATCTTGTTTTGTTTCTAAACTTTGAAGTTAACATTTTGTTTTATAGAAGTTTGTCGTTTTCATGATATCATAAGAAATTGCTATAACTTCATTTTCTCATCGTCTGATGAACTAACAATAAATTTTAATTAAATTAAAAGTACACCATTTGGTATTTCAAAGTCTTTTCTGTTGAATCTGAAACGATCTCTTCAGTTCATTCAATAATTGAATGAAAGTTCTTAAAATACTTAGACCTACTCGACATAAATTTTGCTGTTTCAAATGATTTAGTACAATTAAAATTACGCATGTAATTTCCGTTGAAGAGAACGTCACGAGTATGTTCTCAAGTAATGATTCTGAGAGGAAATTTGTTTATCTCATGTTATTCTATTTCGGCATATCGGTTGTAGATGTAACTGAAGTTGTCTTTGAAGAAAACAGCTACAGTTAGTATGATTTGTCCTCTGACCTAACTTATTTAAGGACGTTTCTACAAGATCACGTTGAATACATTATCTAATGATAGTTGATTCGATGATTTCATGTGCCTCTTGCGATCGATTAATTAATGCTTCATGCAATAGATAGAGATATTCTAACCTATATCTTTGCTTATCTCTTATTCAGAGTAAGCAATTTTGGATCCTTTGAGTGCTGTTATTGACCTCAAGTGTATTTCGATGAATTGCACTATCATTTCGTAAGAAAATAAATCATTTTATTTTTTTATATTGTTTTGTAGTAGCAGTTGTTTTTTTTTGTGAGATATATCGTAATAATAAAATAAACATTCAATGATGAAAAGACTGACTGAGAAAAAAGAACGTTCTGTATTTTTTTTAAATGTTTATTTTTGAGCAATATGAGACAAACAACTTTTCTTTCACAATCAACAATTGAGAATCTACTCGAAAAGTTCTTTTCAACGAAAATCACTTGAATGATTGTAATTGTATTGGATCATTGAAAATGAAAGCTTATCTCAAGTATATCTGAGAAACTGCATTTCAATAGTTGAATGAATTGACAAGATCTTTTCAGGTCACATAGAAAAGACTTCAGACTATCAAATCATATATTTTCAGAATTTTCATCAATTGACTATATTAATCGAGTGACTTTTGATATAATATAATAGAACAAAGTAAACTTTGAATAGGAGACAAAGATCAAATTTAGTCTTATGATTTTGCAAAAGCAATATGATATATTTTGATTTTCTTTTTCTTTTCTAGACGATGAAGATATATATTTCAACATGTCACTCAAATTCGTTCTGCATGTTTAACATGTTTTTCTTGGTGATATGAGGACATTTTTTACTCGACTTGTTTTTTACTTTGAACATATGACTGGTTCTTGTTCTTTGTTTTTTTTTTTTTCGCTCATTATTTGTTAACGTCCGTGCACGAGTGTATGGGATTGATTATAGAAGTAAGAAACAAAAAAAAAACTTGTTACTACTTCAATTTGTTTTCTCCTACGTATTTTGTTTTGTTATATTCTTTGGTTTTTAAAGAATTAATAATGTGCTCGAACACAATCACTGATTGTGTTGCTATACTATTGCATGCATTTTTATCGTTTATTCTTTAAATATATATTTATGTTTTTTTCTCATTGATCTACTTCTAAATCGATTGTAGTGTTTTTTCTTTTTTTATTCGGCAATGTGATACAATAAGCTTTTCTGGAGTGAATAACTCTTTTTAACATTGTACATACACAATAAAACAAAAGAAAATTAAGAAAAAAAAATTTTTAAACTTGGCAGTCAATCATTATTTTCTACATGAAGATTTATTGTTGATATATATTTGAGTTTCTAGAAAACTTTGAAATACATTAATGAAAAAGAAAGTTGTTTTTAGCATTTGACTTTCCTAAAATTCTATATTAACATTTAAAATAAATCCATTCATTTCGAGTAAGAAAATAAAAGATTAATTGATGTCTTCAATGTATCAGTAAATGACAGTCATCAACTTTTTTAACATTTGTTGTAAGTATTTTTATAAATTCAACGGTTAATGTGCCATTCAAGCATTAAGATCAATTAAGAAAGTGCAAGTATATCAAGGGATTTCCTTTGCTTAGATACTATGATAATCGAGTTATTCAAATGACATTTGATTTCATTTTAATATTGTTTACATATCTATGAAATGTCACGCAAAAAGAAAAGAGATGAATGCAATGAAGAAAATCTCAAATTATTAATAAATAAAATTTTTTGATGCACTATTTCATAAAACACATAGCTAGTTATATCAACTTTATTAAACTTAAAACAACATATTTTTCTTGTTTTTTTGTGAAAGTAGTTTTTATAGTTTTCTTTTTTTTTTTGTTTTGTTCTAATGGATTGTTCAGAGTTGGTCACGATCCCACTGGTGAATATAATAGAATCAAAAGA